CATGCCTGGCCTAATTTAGGCTTATATCTAGGAGGTCTGTTTGGCTGGCTGACAGGAGTCCAGCCATCCCAGGAGTGAACTGTGACCTGGTCTCCTTGCTCCAGCCTCAGAAGCTTCCTTCAACTTGCATCATTCTCTCCAGATTATAAGGATATCATGCATTTGAACCCCAACATTATTTGTATTTATTGGCCTTCTCTTTCACACTTTCTGATCCCAAGGTAATCACAAGCCACCCCATAGTAGTTCTGACCTTTGTTGGTCCTATCTGGAACATACAGGTAAGAAATTAGACATGCTGGGGTGCTGGTGGCTCATGCCTGTAATCCTAGCTACTCAGGAGGCTGAGATCTGAGGGTTGAAGTTCAAAGCCAGCCCAGGCAGGAAAGGCCCTGAGACTCATCTCCAATAAACCACTCAAAAAAAAAAAAGGAAATAGCACTGTGGCTCAAGTGGTAGAGTATTAGTTTTGAGCTAAAGAGCTGAGGGACATGGCCCACCCAGAGTTCAAGCCCACAACTGACAAATAAAAAAGTCAGACATGTCAGATCACAAAAGGCCACGTGGTAAATGTAAGGATTCACCCAGGCCCAGGATGCCATGAGAGCTCAAAGAGCTGGAGAAGGGCATCTGGGTGGCTGGGGAGAAAGAATGGGAGAGATAATGCCTAATGAATAATTAAGCATAAAACTAGGTCTTAAGAGTTGGCAGGGAATGTTTAAACTGGGGACAAGTTTAAACAAGCTGAGCCAAGGCTTGAAGACCAAAAAAGGAGGAGAGTAGAAAGCAGAATCAAATAGAAGTTTCTTGTTTTCATGCTTCCGGGTTCCTTTACCTTCATCTTACCTAATGACCTGCCTTTCTGCTGGAATAGAAGGATTGAGGAGGTAAGAACTGATCCTAGATCTACATTCCTGCCTGTAGCCTCTGATTAGTGACCTATTGATGGTGTCCCAATGTTTCCAGTGTGGTGCCAGAAAGACCCAGCACCACCACTGTGTTACCCCACCATGGATGAGTACCTTATCTTTTAGAGCTTTATTGCTCCTTGCCAGTTTAGCAACCTGTTGATAGGTGACAATCATACTGAGGATGAAATAAGGCTGTTTAGGTGTTCTTAGTTCCTCTGTGTCACTCATCCATCTACAGTTAAGGACGATCTTCACAGTAGAGTGCAGGTCTGCAAGAGCTCCTGCTCATGTCACTAGTCCTGGAGTGGAGATCATGTCGGGATGCCTGTATGATGTGTGGTAGATGAGAGGTGGATTGAGCAGTAAATTGGTAACTGGGAAGTGAACATTTGTGGGGGCTTGGGTGTGTGTTTTGGGAAGAATGGGAAGGGTGGACATGTCTGCCCAAAGGTATCCTCCATTTCCTAAAGAGAGACCTGAAGTCCTTGAGCCTACTGGCTTGAGCATCTGAGTTTCCACAGTGAGCAAGGTTAACTACTGCAGTGTACAGCCGCTGCGAGCTGCGAGCTGTGAGCAATGCCTCCTGGGCCCTGCGCAGCCCTTCCTGGCACGTGCTGCTGACAAGTGCATATCACCGTGCCTCCGGTTTCAAACAGGAAAACAGCAGCGCTAAAGGTAGGCCCGAATGAAGAGTGGACCAGACTCAGGGCCAGCTAGCCCCTAGTCTGAGACAAGTTTCTTCTGGGCTGCTGGTGGGCTCCGGACAGAGCTGCAGGCCTGGCCTGCAACGTGCTCACCTGCTGGTCTCAGAAGGCGGGAGAAGGGGTGGGGGCGGGGGGGGAGGATCCAAGGGGCGGAGTGAAAACACGACTGGCCAATGGGGAAAAGGCGTTTCCGTGGATTGCTAAATTCTCCCCCCAGAAAGCAAAGAGGGGCGACGGACAAGGGGAAAGTTCTAAGTTTTGGAGCAATAGGGGGCTGGCCGGACTGGGAGAAACGTCCAGGGTCGGTGACAGAAGAGGCCCGCCCGGGGCGGGGGAGAGGGTGGGGAGCGGTAGGCCCCGCCCTAGGAGCTTCGCCCAGGTTCCGCCTAGTTGCCTGTCCGCCATTGCTGGCTCGAGAGCGTCACCTGCTGGACATTGACCACATCCAGCATGTGAAAGGCCCAAACTGGAAGGAATGATTCTCATCCCAGGCCCCACCACTTGGGAGCCAGAGGCAACTTCCTTCTTTCCGAATATACGTGAGGGAATCAGGTTTGCGACCATGAGAATAAATTCTTGTCCCATGCAGCCCACCAGCGTTGACATTCCCACTTCAGTAGCACTCAGACATGAGGAAATACCAGTGAGGCAGTTCCTAGAAGGAAGCAATGGCAAAGGGAAGGAATTCAAGAGTAGCCAGTGGCCTCTGGTGGTAGCAGAGCATAACTGGAAGCAATCCTGGGCTCCTTGTGAACCCTGTGGCCCAGGGGTAGCTGCATAGTGTTATATGAAGAGTCCAAAAGCTGTGTAAGCTCCCCGGTACTGATTGGCCTTCTTCTTCTCCTCGTGCCGGCCCTTAGATAGAGAATAAGTCCCCATAATTGGAATCAGGACTCATTCTTCCTTTCAATAAATATTTATTGAGCACCTACTGTGTGTCAGGCACTGTGCCAGGCAGGGATGCATCAGTGATTAACACAGTTCCTGTCCTTGACGAGCTCACAGTCCATTGCAGGAGAAACATACAGAAAGACAGTTAAGGAACTACAATGTGCTGCATGCTGACATAGGAGATAAATACAAAGTGCTGCGGGAAACCAAAGGAGAGAGTAACATATCGGCTGCTAGGAGAGATTTATGCTTCACTCTGACTGATTTAAACCATTGCAAAAGCAAATATGTTGTTGCTGTGTGTGCCTGGTAAAAGCAAACCTGTCCCTTAATGTTCTCCCACCCTCTCCCATAACTATTTCAGCACAGGTGACTTTATCGGGTTACCTAGTTTAATAACTGAGTAGGAACTGGTCAGGGAAGTTCATCTAGAAGCAGAGGATGTTCAAAGCATTAACAAATCTTGGGTGCTAAAATGGAAGTTGAGGGGGGGGTTGCCATGAGGACACTGAACGAAGGGAGGACAGGCCCTGGACAGTGGAACACCTAGTGAATTGTGTCTGTGCCAAGGGGAAGTCAGAGATCACCTACCTCAATGTTTGGTTCCCATCTCCCACCACCTCGATCAGAGCCACTCATGGGTGCTCCTCTGATTGGCAGTGTGACCTACTCAGTGGGAATAGTCCCCACTGTCCCTCAGAAAGCAGCACACTGATTAGAGACTAAATGGGCACCAGCTACTAAATGTATAAGTAACCTTGTAATACTGACAAACATGTCACAGGCCTTTCATGTCCATAGAGTGGCCATTGCAATGAGTTTAAAGAGCTCAAGTTGGTTGCTGGTGGCTCATGCCTGTAATCCTAGCTACTCAGGAGGCTGAGATCTGAGGATCATGGTTTGAAGCCAGCCTCACCAGGAAAAGTCCATGAGACTTGTCTCCAATTTACCACCAGAAAATGGAAAGTGGCGCTGTGACTCAAGGTAGTAGAGCACTAGCCTTAAGTGAAAAAAGCTCAGGGACAGAGCCTAAGCCCTGAGTTCAAGCCCTATGACTGACAAAAAAAAAAGAACTGAAGGAGAGGCTTGTGTGGGAGGCAGCTTGCATGAACTGAGTCTGGAAACACAGATACAACTTTTCATTGGTATTAGGAGGATACAAACAGCATTTGAGTTGAGTAGAACCCAGTAAAGGAAAAAGTATAGGTGGGAACTTTTCAACAGAGGCATATTCAAAGGCCAGCAAATCCATCTGTTTGGAGGAGTACACTGTGTGGTATAGACCACAGTATGAGTGGGCTGGGGGGTAACAGCTAGGATACAGTGGGGAAGGGCCAAGGATTTGGCGTCTTCTGTGACGATGAGAGCTGATTCCTGGAATTACTACTTTGAACCATCCCTCCTGCAGAACTGCTGCAGAACCTCATGATTGAGCAACTAAAGGGCTAATGCTTGGCCTCTAGACGGGATTGGAGGATGTGTTTGACACTCTTTTGCTGTAGGCCAAGAGGAATTGCTGAAGGCTTTTTAGCAGCTGCTCTGACAAAGGGAAGGTAATGGAACAGTTCACAGGACAGATCACACTGATGTGTCCATGAAGGTGAGAGCCTGGATACAATGAGTTAGCTAGGTAGGAGCTTTTGTGCATATGGAACACAGACCACATTTTAAAGGCATTGGAACCTCACTGGACTTCAGAGGATGGGGGAGAGGTTCAGGGTTAAGTGAAGGTAGTCATTAGTAGCTCTGAAATTTGAAGCTTACAAAATCAGGGAAATGGTGTCATTATTAACAGAAAGAGGCAAGTCTTGATGATCTGCTTATCTGTTTGTGAGTGTGGAATTTTAAACATCCGTGAAGACTGACCGATTTTAGGGACAAATGTCCAGTGAATTGTTAGAGCATGAGCCAGGGGCTTAGAAGTAAAGCAGGCTCTGGATTTAAAATTCATCTCAAAGAGCTGGGCCATGAGAACAACAAGACGCTTGAGGTACCACTGCATTGAAAAGGGAGCTAAGGAGCCCACACAGGAACAAAAAGGAGGATGGGAGAGGTGCTTAGCTAGTGTGGGTTAACAGGGGCCAAGGACCGTGGAAAAGACTTAGATTTTCCCATGATAGTATTTATGGCCTATGGAATGATGAATTTCTGTGTAGTGGGGGGCAGGGCCATCTCTTGCCCATTCTGTGTCTTTATGCACATTTTTTATGTCGGTCCTGGGGCTTGAACTCTGGGCCTGGGCGCTGTCCCTCTGCTCTTCAGCTCAAGGCGAGTGCTCTACTACTTGAGCCACAGCACCACTTCTGGTTTTCTGGCAGTTTATTGGAGATGAGTTTCACGGACGTTCCTGCCTGGGCTGCTTTGAACCTCAATCCTCAGATCTCAGCCTCCTGAGTAGCTAGGATTACAGGCTTATGCACATTTTTTTAAATGATGACCCAAAAGTCATCTTGATGACTCAAGATACTTGTTTGAAACCATCAGGAAATTGTCATAACAAACTGCTTTTATTAGAAAAAAGGTACTTCAATGCCAACTGCTGGAAACATGTAGTAAATGCACCTGCACAGCCATACATAGTTCCTTCCCCCAGAGAAAAACAGAGAGAAGAGAGTGTGGGAGAGAATGATGATCCGGAGAAGAGAGAAGAGAGCAGCCGGAGAGGTAGTTAGGTCAATGGTTGCTTTGGCACTGAGGACGTAGCAAAAGTCCTGATGCACTGATTCACATTAACCGAATTCATCAGAAAACAGGTGTTTCTGAGCCGGACACTTCTTAGCTTTGCCCTTAAACTTGGCAGGAGAAAGCTGAACAAGGAATAGCCCCAGGAATGCCTGACAGCTGGAAAATCCCAGGGAGAAAGTAATGAGGAGGGAACTTAACAATGGGGCCCCCAGAGGGAAGCGTGCCAGCAAAAGCTGTTGCCTGGTATGCAACTGCTCTTGCACAAACAATCTAAGCACTTGGTCACAAACCTTCAATGAACTCAGCACTGGCTGAGGACTCTATGACTCTAGGGAGGTGCTTTGTCGTACTAATCCTTCACCAAAACACTAGAGGCTCCAGCCTACCATTATGGTGATGGTAGCAGGTACGAGGCAAACTGCAGGACAAGAAAGTTCACGGAGCCTGAGGAGGGGGCTCCCAGGGCTGAGTTCCTCCCTCCCTCTGTGGGTCAGACAATTGGCCCTCAGGATTGCATCTCCCCCAACACATGCAACCTGCTAAGCTCTCCTAGATGGACATATTCTAGCCCCATGACATCTCTCAAGATTTGAGGTCTAACCTGTACCTCAGAGTCTCAGCAATCAGAGTGTGACTTGTACAAACAGAATCAGAAAATGTTTTCCCTTAAAAAATCCTCCTGGGGGGGGACACATACAAAACACACACACTTGAAAAATAAGACCTTACAGCTGCTACACCCCAACTTCCCCAAATAAATGAAACTAAAGCCCCACAGGTACACACAAATACACAGAGATATTCACATATAGGATACTAACTTCCCTATGGAGGGAATATATATGGTGAGATACAGCCAGGCCAGATTCTTCCCATGAATCCTTTCATCATCCCTGGCCACAAACTTCTCCCTGGCTCAGGGTTTTCCCTCCATCACCAAATCAGCCCACTATTGTGCCAAGAGCATAACCCCTAGTGCTCCTGAAAGCCATGGTCTGGGGCAGAGCTGGATCACGGTGATGTCAGGGAGGGCTGGGGGACTGGGGAATCACGTGTATTCAGTCCCATGAAACGTAAGGGCAGATATGCTACTCAAGTCAGTCCATATGAAAACAGTGCCCAGCTTCATCTAGTGGGTCACACTTCCGATCCCTTTGTTTATATGTCATGGGGCTCTGTCTTAATGAGGGAAGTGGGGTTGAATGGGGAGAAGGGGGCTGGGGTTGGAGATCTGGTCAACAGACTCCCAGATGTGGTCCCACTAGGCTCAGTCATGAACAAGGAGCCTGAGCCTGAGGAGAGCTCAAGTTCAGCCACTGGGGTCAGCCCAACAGTGGGGCAGCTGGGGGCAGAGAAAGTCTGGTTCCCCATAAGGCTCGCATTGTGGGAACCCCTTGAAAGCACCTGGGTTGGAAGTGGCTGATGAGCCTGATCTCTCAGGAGCTCCCTCAGGGTCTCTTCAGGAACCAAGAGCCCCTCCATGGGGGGCCCAGTCACCATGCCCTGCACATATGATGAGGGCCTCAGTGGCCCCTCCTTGACCCCAGGGACTGCTGTGGCACCAGAAGTCCTGATGAAGGCAGCAATGACAGTCCCAGGAGGCTGAGAACTCGGCCCTGCTGGAGCTGCACCTGTGACTGCGGCTGATGCTGGGTTGGTTGGACGGTTGGCCCCAGCCAGAAGTTGAGGGAAGCCACTGAGAATCAGTGGGGTCCCGGGTGCTGCCACCTGGTTCTCTTGGAAACTGGTGTTCAGAGGGAAGGAGGCCTGCAGAGTGAAGGTCTCCTTGAATGTTGACCCAGGTGGCACACTCTGAAGAACGAGCTGAGTGGGAGCAGTAGTACTGGTTGGAGGCCCACTAGTCAGCACCGTCGTCAGTGGGATGGTCTGCAGGGTCACAGTGGAGCCTGATGCCACAGGAGCCACTCCCAGGTGGATGTTGCTGGGCACTGCTGAAGTACTGAGAAGAGACAGAAAACAGATGGTTGAGGCAGAAGGTGCACCAACTGGCTGGGAAGGAGGGCATAAGAAGAAGGGAGCTGAGTGTTTTGTGTCTTGCTGGTTGCTCTAGTTAACACTGAGTGCCTCATATAGGTCAGACATGATTCTAAATCACTGACATCACTCAAGCCTCAATAGAGCCCATGAGTTGAATAAGAATAACCTGATAGGGCTGGGAAGGTGGCTCCATGGTAGAGTGCTTGTCTAGCAGCCATGAAGACCTGATTCCATTCCTCAGTACCACATACACAGAAAAAGCCGGAAGTGGCGCTATGGCTCAAGTGGTAGAGTGTTGGCCTTGAGCAAAAGAAGCTCAGGGACAGTGCCCAAGCCCAGAGTTCAAGCCCCATGAGCAGAAAAATGAAAAAAAGAATAACCTGATATTACAGCCTGAAGAAACTGAAGCCCAAAGACATGATGAAAGCCACTACAAAAGTTAGATCTAAAATGTACTAGGATATGACAAATTACACAGAACTCCAGATACTCAACATACAGTGAGACCAAAAGAGGGTAGTCTTAGGAAAGAATCACAAAAGTATAATGCCTGAACTCCTCTTCAGGTATATATAAAATAATACACATACTAAAACAAATTCCAAACATATGGAAACAACGGACTTTTTTCTTAATTTGTGTGTTCATTTGCAGATGACTCTGTATTCTTTACCTTCCAAAAGGTATATTCACATGCACATCTGGAGGAAGGTGGGGGAGGGCACAGAATTGGCAAAGGGGGGGGGGGAGAATGGTGAAAAAGTGCAGCAGTGGAGTGCACTGTCTGCACAGGCCATTGAGGAAAGTGAACTATGCAATCTGTAGGTGGAGAGGGGAGGGAGGGAATAGGTGAGAATGAAGGAACAGATGACACTATGCAATAGAAAATGTACTTATTACCTGATGTATGTAAAGGTAACCCCGCTGTATATCACCTTTAAAACAACAATAAAGTAATTTAGAAAAAAAAGCAAGAAAGAAAAATAGAAAGTCACCACAAGACCATGCAGCCTGTAAGGACTAGAGCAGGGACTTTCATCTAGGCCTTGCAAACAACAGGCTCTGAGTTCAAGCCCCAGAACCAGCGGGCACATACATATGCGTGCACATGCAAGCGCACATGCATGCGCGCGCGCACACACACACACACACATGTCACAGTTTGAAACCAGCCTGGGCAGGAAAGTCCAGGAGACTCTTAGCTCCCAATTGACCAGCAAAAAAAACCCACAAATGGAGCTGTGTATGGCTCAAGTGCAAGCCTTGAGTGAAAAAGTCACACAAGAGCATGAAGGCCCAGAGTTCAAGCCCCATTACTGAGTGGCACCAAACAAAAAGAGAAGGAAGGGAGAAAGAAGGAAGAAGAGAGGAAGGGAGGAAAAGAGGGAGGAAGGGAAGAAGGGAGGGAGACAGGGAGAGAGGAAGGGAAGGAAGGAGAAGGAGGAACATTATCCTGGTGACGCACATCAGTACAGCAGCAGGAGGCATAAACATAAACCAAACAGAGTCTGATGACTTCAGGAGCAAGTGCAGGCCCTTTGGTTTGGAAGTATTGAGAGCTTTCTGGCAGGCCTAGATGGCAAAAAAAGCCTATTTACACTATTGTACATTGTGGAAGGGAAAAGGCTTGATGGGATGGGCCTAGTTGGAGAAGCCCCAGTAACTCCTTGGACTGCACTCCCGTGCGACAGGAATGGCATCCTCCCTAACACAAGTGCTGGCTTTGGAGTTCCTTTGGTGTGTGAACTCAGGCAAGTAACCCTACCTCTCTGACTAACAAGTGTCCTATGGGCTTCTTAGAGGTTCCACAAGGCTCCCAGGAGACTACGAGAGACAGCACAACTTGGGAAGGAGTTGATAACTAATCCTACCACAGAGAACTATGGGAAGACTCAGAGTTACTTTGGCCCCTTACCTCACAGCTTTGGTGAGCTTGGCCTGGCTCTCTGGTGGAGAGATAATGATGGTGGAGGTAGTGGGGATCTCGTCGTCTAGAGACAGTCCCAATTCCAGACTTGCAGATGGTCGGAGACCAACGTGCTGAACCTTTGACTTGTCCCAGCAGGGCCCAGCCTTTCCCTGGGAGGCACCTCTGGATGAAACTTTCGAGCTGGCTCGTCGGTTGGTGCTGGTGGAAGAAGTGGAGGCCTGAGGTGGGGCTTCTGGGGCTTCTTTCTCCTCCTCATCTTCAATCACCACCAAGTCCTTAGGCATCTCCTTAAACTGATACACTAGCCTCTGCCCTTCCACTTTGGCCAGGATGCCTCTTTGGTAGTAGTATCTGGAAGAGGCAAGCAGAGAGTGGAGTTAGTCAGCAACTGAATGAGGAGGTCTTCCCAGCTCAGTGCTCTTGAGGGCAGAGCAAGCATGACTGAGGCTGGCCAGAGAGCCGGGCAGGAGCCCAGAGGCAATGGAAGGCAAGTGGCCATCTCGTGGACATGGAAGGCTTGGAGATTTCCCTTTTCAGACTCAAAGAATGCATAAAAAGAGGTTTCCAGTGCTAATCTCCATCCTGCTTTTGAGCCTGAGGACAGGTAGGGTGGGTGGATGAGTGAATGGATGGAGTGCAGGGGTTCAGCCTTCCCCTATTCTGAAAGTTCAAGGCTTGCACAATATGAAGAAATCCCTTCTTAGGGTTGGAGGGTGGCAGACCTAAAGTATCTTTTCATGACAGAATGCAAAAGGAAGATTTTAGTTAGGTATGGCAGCACATGCTTGTAATCATAGTTACTTGGGAGGTAAAGTAGGAAGATTGTGGGCCAAAGCCATCCTGGGTACAAGCATGAAACATTATCTGAGAAATAAGTTAAGAAGAAAAGCAATCAGATACGGTGGCTCACACCTGTAGCCCCAGATACTTAGAAGGTACAGATCAGCATCCCAGTTTAAGGCCAGCCCAGGCAAAAAGTTAACAAGCTCCCATCTTAATCAATAAGCCTGGCATAGTAATGCAGCTGTCATCTCAGCTACATGAGAGACGTAGGTAGAAGGATTTAAGTACGATGCTAACCTTGGACAAATCAAAACTTGCTGGGCACTGGTGGCTCACACCTATAATACTAGCTACTTTGGAAGATTGTAGTTTGAGGCCATCTCCAGCAGAAAAGTTTACAAGACCCCTTCTTAACCAACAGCTAGTTGCAGTGGCATGCACTTGTCATCCTAGCTTCATGGAAGAATGAAATTAGAGGGATCATGGTTCTGAGCCAGTATGGACAAGAAAGGTGGTCTATGAGATTGTCTCAGCAGAAGCAGCTGGGCCTCATGGCCTATGTCTATCATCCTAGCTACTATGGAAAGCCTAAAATGGTCTAGGTGCATGACTGTGCAAAAAGAGGCTGGAGGCATGGCTCAATGGTAGAGTACCTGCCTAGCAATCATGAGGTCCTGAGCTCAAACTCCAATATTAAAAAAAACAATAAACAGGAGACACTATATAAAAAAAAGGAAAAAAGGCTGGTGGTTTAAGTGGTAGAGCACCTGCCTGACAAGCACAAGACCCTGAGTTCAAATCTCCCCCCTCAAAAAACACCTCAAAACTTAAAGCCAAAGGACTAGGGGGCATGGCTCAAGTGGCAAGGTCCTTGCCTAGCAAGTATAAGGCTCTGAATTCAATCAATACAGCCAAAAAAAAAAAAAGAGGAAGAGAATCTTGCTTCCAAGAGGGAGGCTGGAAAGTGGGAAAGTACTGAGATCAGGCCTCTATTTTAAAGTGGGAGGCCTCCTTGGTCACCAGATATGTTGGGTGACTCTCTCAGGGCAGGAATTCCATGCCCCAGCAGCTCTACCTTAGTGCCCGCCCCATTGTTTCATAGTTCATGTCTGGCTTGTTTTTTTGCTTTCCCCACAGCTTAGACACAGCTTTGGAGTCCACCAGCTTGAAGATGCCTTTCTCTCGCTGGGTCCACTTGATGTACTTGGGACAGGTGTTTCTGTCTTGCAGCAATGCCAGGAGGAACTCCCATAGGTAGATGGTGCTGCCTGCAGAGGGGAACGGATGTTGAGGGGTGGCCTAGGCCCCCTGGTGGCATACTAGGGGGACTCCTGCCTCCCCCGCCCTCACCTGACTTCTGGACATACCTTTGCCATCCTTTGATTTCTTTCGTATGGGAACACTGGGGTCAGTGACAGGTGAGGTACTTCGGTTGCCCTTTGTCTTGCGGACTGTGAGGAGAAGGTGGAAAAACAGAATGCAGCTGTGGTCGTGGTGAGCTGGCCAAGCTGGGTGTGACAGGACCAGGCAGGAATGGCCAGGTCACCAGGGCAAAGGCCTGATCGTTCCTCCACAGCCACAATCCCACTGTAACCCTTATTTTTCAGGTCCCAAATGCCACAAGGTCACCATTGGGGGCGGGGGAGGGGAAAGGCCAGACTCGCAAAGGAGGCTCCTTTATTAGAATAGTATAAGATACTGATACCCACCTATAACCTCGGCATTTGGAAGGCTTAGGCAGAAAGATCATTATTTAAGGCCAGCCTAGATTACATAACAAATCTCCAAAAAAACCGGGAGGGAAGGCCGGGTGCCGGTGGCTCACGCCTGTAATCTTCCTAGCTACTCAGGAGGCTGAGATCTGAGGATCACAGTTCAAAGCCAGCCTAGGCAGGAAAGTCCATGAGACTCTTATCTTCAATAAAACCACTAGAAAACCGGAAGTGGCACTGTGGCTCAAGTGGTAGAGTGCTTGCCTTGAGCTGAAGAGCACAGGGACAGTGCCCAGACCCAGAGTTCAAGCCCCACGACCGATCAAAACAAAAAAAAACAGGAGGAAAGGGGAAGAAGGAAAGGAAGGGAGGGGAGAAGGAGAATGGTAAGGTGTGTGGTGACTGGTCTAACTTCTGAAATGGGATACAGCCATGCAGTGTGTGTGTGTGTGTGTGTGTGTGTGTGTGTGTGTGTGTGTGTGTGTGTGTGTGTGTGTGGTGTTGGGGTTCTGGTACCCGCGCTGACAAGACATATCAACCCACCATCACCTGAGTCAATCAGTAACACTGGAGCTTGGGAAAGCCCAAAGTCCTCTCATATATAGTTTCCATTTCATAAGCTCCACAGAAGGGAGATAAGCACATGATATGCCAGGTTTTTTTGAGACACAGTTTCATTGTATAGCCCATAGTGGCCTCAAATTTGATGTAACCCTGGCTGACCTCAAATTCATGTTCCTTCTGCCTCAGCCTCCAGAGTGTTGGAGGTTATAAGCATGTAGCACTACACCCAGCTAGAATTACTCATTTTTATAGGCGGAGACCCCAAAGGTCCAGGCACTGGCTAGGGGTCCAAGCTTGTATCCTGGAATTAAACCCACTGAGATGGTTGGAGATGTGGCTTAGTGGTAGAGTGCTTGCCTAGGATTCCTGAAGCCCTGGGTTTAATTCCTCAGCACCACATAAGCAGAAAAAAGCCAGAAGTGGCACTGTGGCTCAAGTGGTAGAGTGCTAGCCTTGAGCTGAAGAGCTGAGGGACAGCACCCAGGACCAGAGTTCAGGCCCCACGACCGACAAAAAAAAAAAGAAGCTCAGGGACAGTGCCCAGGCCCTGAGTTCAAGCCCCAGGACTGGCAAAAAAAAGCCACTGGCATTAGTAGCACTTCTGGAGGCATCTATACATTCAGGGCAAACAGGAACAGTGTGGGGAATGCTAGGCTTCCAACAGGCTAGCCAGTGAGGCCAAGGTTAACAGAAAGAAGGCCTGTTAGACCAAGGAGATGCCCTCTATTAAGAGCATCTGTGAGCTTCAAGCCATTCAGCCCTGAGGGTCTCCCTGCCCTCACCCTACCCTATTGAAGACAGACAGACAGACAGACAGACAGACACACACACACACACACACACACACACACACACACACACACACACACTCCTCCCCTCCTTACTTCTCTTCTTTGATTTCTTCTTAACACTTTCTTCTCTGGGGACCCTCTCCCCCAGAGAAAGCTTCTCCTGGTCACCAGTGTCATTCACTCTATTCAGAGCAGCAGGCTCAGAGGCAGGAAACAGGTAGTTGGGCAGAGTGATGGCTGGCACAGGCTCTGGTTCTGGAAGCCTTTCAGAGGTGTTGACTGTAATAAACAAAAGGCTGAAATGGGTGGAGCCCAGGACAAGGCTGCTATCCAATTGATCACCAGCTCTACTGCTTGAGAGCAAAATGGTGTGTACCTGAGGACTGTGGTACTGTTCCCCATAGTCCCAGACACAGGATACAAATGTCTCAGGGATCTCCCTCCTCAAGGGCATAAGACATCAGCAGATCTGTGTCAAGAGCTCTCCTTGATCCTAGCAATGTATTGATAGCCCTCTACTGGTGATACGGAGGTTCCAGAAAGCATCGAGTGCAAAGGACCACCTTGATATAGTCATTCATTCATTTGACAATCCAAAGAGGCCTTTGAAATCATTTCAGCTGGGCTGGGCATGGTGGCACACGCTTGTAATCCCAGCTAGTCAAGAAGCAGATATAAGAGGATCAAGGTTCAAGGCCAGCCCAGGCAAAAAAAAAAAAAAAATTGAGACCCTACCTCAAAAACAATCAGGGAAAAGCAGTTCACACATGTGGTCACAGATGCTCAGGAGGTAAAGATAGGATTTTGGATTTGAGCTTAGCCTAGGCAAAACAGTTACCAAGATTGTATCTTAAAAACAAGCTAACAAGCTGGGTGTGGTAGTTCACAGCTCTAATCCCAGCTACTCAGGAGGCAACGATAGAAAGGATCGAAGTCCAAGGCCAGCCCAGGCAAAAGCACTGGATCCTACCTGAAAAACAAACTGAAAACAAAAGGACTAGTGCAGCTCAAGTAGTAGAAAACTTGCCTTAGCAAGTGCAAGGTTCTGAGTTCAATCCTGAGTACCACAGAAAGATTCCTCTGCCATCCAGTTCCTATGCTTTTCTGATGAAGAAACTGAGACAGACCTACAGATGGCAAGCCTTGTGTCCCAGATCACACAGCAAGTTGGTGCCTGGTACAGGCTGGCACTCAGTAAATATTCGTGGAATCTTGCTGAATATCAGTGAGAGTCAAAGTGAGAAATCCCTTACTTTTCAGCTTCTGGACTTTGCTTGCCCTCATAGTACCTGAGGGGAGCCCCTCCTGTGATGTTAGGGCATGGGTCTTGGGAGGACAACAGGAGGAGCTGTCCCCTCAGGCGGTTGAGGACTTAGGAGGTAGGCAAGATAAACCAGCTAAACCCTCTTAGGGACAGGCCTCCAAGAACACGGAAGGGATGAAGTTGTTCCAAGCCCAGTACGTTTCCAAATAAGCCACCCTCAGCATTTCTTACTCTCCTTTGGAACCAAGTAAGAAGAACAGAACAGAGAGGCTGAAAAGGACCCTGGCCACTACGATTCCACCTTGAAAAGGAAGGAAATTCTGACTCACACGACAACATTGATTGAATCTGAGATGTACAATGCTGTGTGAAATATACTAGTCACCACAGACGGACACTGTTCATCTATTTTGTACTATCATGTATTTTACTACAATTTTAAAAACTGGAGAAAAATCCACAAAAGTCACCCTGGCCATCTTTTCCCTGTCTCTGGGGCCCAGCTCCTTCCTCTCCTCTGCCAATCCAAGGTCCGCTTGATTCACATGTGTACCGGTGTACCTAAAGCTGCATATCCATGGCCCTGAGAATGCAATGCACAGATGTGACATTTTCAAATGCAACTGTTTTGGTGCTTTGAGTAAGGGTTCCAGGATTCAAACTTACACATTTGCTTCTCATCCAGGATGTTGTTGGGAGATTCCACATTGAGTAAGACCTCGGTGGTGGATATGGTAGGTGAGGTGACCTCATTGTCATCTGGTTCCAGGTTCCGGGGTGAGGGGTGAGAGGATAAAAAGAGTTCCCTCAGGGGACAGACAGTATAGCTATGATCAAGGCTAAGGGAAGGCTAAGCCAACAGACTCTGTAGGACGGCTTTGAAGGGTCCAGTATGGCTCCTGCCCTTATCCCCCACTCAGTTCATCACCAGTCCTTGTGCCAGATCATCCAGAGCATTCGTGGATGCATTAAGACACCCCTTCCCCTGTGCAGCAGCACTGGCTTTCATCGAAGGTACTGCCCATTCTACATGGAGTTACTAGCAACCATGTGGGCTGCTGTTTCCTGAAGACAAAACCACTTTCTCCATCGTACCTTCCCTGCCCAGAAAGGAACAGACCTGCCAGCAGAAAACTGCCCTCCAAGATCTGATCCTGTGTCATACACAATGTCCCGTCTGTTATGATGCCATTGTGGACGTCGTCCAACTCCAGTCCTGAGTACAGATGCAGTAATTCGGGGTAGGGAACCTGTTCCACGATCACAGCTGGGAACACGGAGGGATCTTCCAGCTATGGAGAAGATACGGATCAAGTGAAAGGCTCACCCTCATCTCCCAGAAATCCCTCCCCATCCGATTTTGGGGCTGACTTTGCTAAGTAATGCTCTAAGAAGGATCTTGATAAAGAGAGATGACTTAGCTCTAAACCACCTGCACTCAAACAAAGGCAAGCAGTGTGTGTGTGTGTGTGTGTCAGTGTGTGTGTGTGTGTGTCAGAGTGTGTGTGTGTGTGTCAGAGTGTGTGTGTGTGTGTCAGAGAGAGACAGACAGACAGACAGAGAGATGCTGGAGATGCTGGGGATTGAACCTGGAATATCACTCTACCACTGAGATACAACTTCAGCCTAGGCAAGTATTTTCAGGGGGGTGGGTTAATCTATGATCTAGAATTAGGGATCAGTCTATGAGAAGGGATAGATTCATTCCAAAGCCTGTGGAAAAGAAGAGTTGATAGCAAAGGGGAGAAAGGGGAGGAGTCAATCTACAGCCACATGTGACTGGTGGACCTATTTAACAGAGTACAATTATAGAACATTTCCAGAGTTCCAAAAAATTCTATTGCATTGTGCTGGTCAAAAATCAGACTGCTTTGGTTCAAAACCAAGCTCTAGTATTTACTAGCAGTGTGGCCTTATGAAATTTACCTAACCTTTCTGTGTTTCAGTTTCTTCACTTATAAAACTGGGGCACGCATATTATTTAAACAGATCAATACATATATAGCTCCCAGAAAGAAGCCCAGTATAAAATAAGTTCTCATTAAGAGTTAGGCATCAGGGGCTCTTAAGAGACTAATAACATGTTACTTCTTAACCTGGATGTAACTTTGTGTGTGATCCTTGGAGTCTGTATTTGTCTGTTTGTCTGTGATGAATTAGAGATAAAAGTGTCACAGGCTTGGAATGTGGCTTACTGGTAGAGTGCTTTCCTAGTATATATAAAGCCCTAGATTCAATTACTCAGTATCGCATAAACAGAAAAAGCCAGAGTGCCACTGTGGCTCAAGTGATAGAGTGCTAGTCTTTTTGTTTGTTTGTTTTTTTGGGTCCGGTCATGGGGCCTGAACTCTGGGCCTGGGCGCTGTCCCTCAGCTCTTCAGCTCAAGGCTAGCGCTCTACCACTTGAGCCACAGCACCACTTCTGGCTTTTTTCTTTTTGCTTATGTGGTGCTGAGGAATCAAACCCAGGGCCTCTGGCATGCAAGGCATGCACTCTACCACTGAGCCACCTTCCCAGCCCCTAAAGTGCTAGTCTTGATCAAAAGAAGCTCAGGGACAGTGCCCAGACCCTGAGTTCAAACCCCAGGACTGTCCAGAAAAGTAAAGAGTCTCACAGACTTTCCTACCTGGGCTAGCTTTGAACCCAAATCCTCAGATCTCAGCCTCCTGAGTAGCTAGGATTACGGGGGTAAGCCACCAGCAACTGGCTAGACTATCTTTCCTATAAGCAGTATTTATTCCTAAGTAACAGGGCAGGAAGGGAGGTTTTCTTTTAGAAGACCTTAAGGGTGAGATATGGGAGAGAGTCTGAAAGATGTGAGAAGGAAGAAGAGAAGTGATTGATGGTGTGAGTTCTTGAAGGAGATGGGAGAAGACAGATGAAATGAAGGTTTAGGCATTTCCCTGGGAAGAGGGACACTTCTTTCTCCCAGAGAAGAAAATAAGAACAGGAGATGTTATAATAAAAGGAGAAGAAGGAAATTAGCTATGAGTTTCTCTGTGGATTAGAAGAGAGGCTTGTGCTGAGGAAGTAGGGGTGAGTAGGAGGTAGGAAACAACCTCTATGTAGAACAGAAACAGTTGCTGAGTAAACTAAGAACAAGTGGAAAAAATGGCTAGTACAGTGAGAATCCAGGTAAGGTTGATTTTTCTTCCCTTTTTATCTGATGCCTTCCATGAGGGCAGACACAGCAGAAAATTCAAGTGAACCACTAAAGGGCTGAGCAAGTAGATCAGTAACTCAGCGGTAGAGTACTTGCCTAGCATGTGCAAGACCCTGGGTTCCATCTGTAGCACAAAAGGAGGAAAGGAAGAGGGGGTAGGGAGAGAGGTAGAGGAAGAACACAGACACCTTGAGTAAAAACAAGCTGGATAGAAAGAGTACAACGCGGGCTGGGAAAGTAGCTCAATGGTAGAGTGCTTGCCTTGTATGCATGAGGGCCTGGGTTCATTTTCTCAGCACTACATAAACAGAAAAGCTGGAAGTATAGCTCAAATAGAGCGCTCATCTTGAGCTGAAGAACTGAGGGACAGCGCCCAGGCCCAGAATTCAGGCCCCACGACCACCAAAAAAAAAAAAGCCACCAGAGCGAGAGAGAGAAAGAGACAGAAAGACAGAGACAAAGACAAAGACAGAGACAGAGACAGAGACAGAGACAGAGAGACAGTTCAATGCCCTCAAGGCCCACTAGAGGGCAGCCTTTAGTAGATCCAATGATGGGACAATCGCTATAAGGATTTTGGATAGAGTGTAATGGAGTAAGGCTGGGATGTCACAATCCAGCCCAATCGTCTCTTGAAAAAGATGGAAGAGATGCTAGCCAGATAGGGACAGGACCTGACCCACGGTTCCCAATTCCTCTTCTTCCATTCCTTCTACCATACCTGCTTGTCTTGGTCCATTTTGTGAAAGGAGAATGGGAGGTAGCCCTGAGTGTGCAGCAAACCATCCAATCAGGACATCTAAATGCATAGAAGATGTGCCCTTTTAGCCCCAGCACAGCACCAGGTATGAATGGGACAGTGGAGAGCTGAGTGCCAGAATACTGTCCTAATTTCCAACTCCCTCCACCCTGAATCCTCAAGTTAAAGGTATTTATGGATGAGCCCAACAACTGGGCTACCCTTTGAGTATGAAGGTGCCACGGCTTAAACTCTACCCTGCAGTTCCAGGTGGTAGAACCCCTCTTGCTATGTGGCTGCCCCACCAGTTTTCTTACTGAAGGAAAGTAGCCGATACCCCATATGATGGTCAATGTACTATGTATCCAGTCTCTGTTGCCTACTAACCAGAAACTCGGCTGTTTTTTTACTGCTTAGCCAGCTTGATGATTACACATGCTATGTAAGGAAATGTGGGAAACTGGCTTCTTAAATAACCACGTCACTACTACGGGCTGTGTGAATTAAAAAAAAAGTAACTGGCAAGCAAGGCCCTGTGCCCTAAATCTTGATAGCTATTTGCTGACTAGTCAGTCCTTCAGCTCACTGACTCATTTGCTTGCTATTTGTCAATGTCCACTTGATCATCTGCATTAGGGCCATACCTGGTGGATGTCCTCCATCCCGTTGCTTGCAAACTCAAAGACCAGGTCACTAGGTGGCAAGGTAATAGCCATGACGTCCTCCAGGAGAGCTGACAGTGAGATTCCCCAGGCACTGCAGAGCTTTCCTGATAAAGAGATGCTGTTTATTTACCTTGGGACTACAGCCTCCCCCAGTCACTGAAGTAGGGAAATTGGAGACCTGGAGTAGGTGGTGGCCTATCTTTTAAGTTTCAAAGCTGCATGCTGGGCTGGACCGATCCGAAGTACAACCTGGGGAGAAAAGAGATGAGGTCCATGAGTAAGTCACTTTCCTCAAGCTCTGTAGTCAGGACAGCTGATTAAACCAGAGGGACTCAGGTGTGCTAGAGCAGAACACCAATAAAGGGACAGCTGTAAGAAGCCTGTCGTCCTTGTGATGGGACAGGAATGGGAAGAATTCTTGGATTGGGAAGTTTTGTGTGAGGGGCCTTGAGGACACACAAGGTAGACAGGGTGATCTTAGGCTTCATGTGCCTTGGCCATGGGGGCCACTTAGCTTTGAGGGTCAGAGTCCATAGGGGGAAAAATTGGCTTGTAGGTGGGGGGGACTTGAAGGTCAAGGCTCATGGTGGGTGGCCTGATCCTGCTCTTCAGGAGAGGACTCAGGTCGGGCTGTGCCTTCAGTTAGCATGAAGACAGAGAGACAGGTAGGATGCGTGCCTTACGTGCTCATTCAGCATGCCCTGCCCCCATCGCCACCAAAGAGGGTGGCCTCAGTACTGTGTGTGGGTTTGTGTTAGTTCAGCTTTGCTTTCAGTTTCAAGGCTGAACTGTCACCCTGGGAACTTGTGAGGAGAGCCCCAGCTGGGGGAAGGGCCAGTGGAACCTCCCCCTCCTCCAGGGTCGGCTCAGGCCCCTTTTCCAGGAAATCTCCTAGGCCTGCTGCAGCCCACACACATCTCCCCTCTCCAGCATGCCTCCCTCCCTTGTTCACAGTGCATCTAGGCCTGCAGCGGTGTCCCTTGCCTCCATTCCTCCGCTGTCCACACCCTTGTGGCTCTTCTAGCTGGTCACACCCAAGGCCATGGCCTGTTCCCAAAACCCTCGCTCCCTCCTGCCAGCCTGTTCTGCTCCTGTGTCCTGCACAGTCAGCTTCTGTACTTGCAGGTACCACATCTGTGGTCCCTTATGTTCATTTGGAGTGTGGGATTGGTTTTGGGTGCATGGATAATTACACACAGCCTGCTTCCACCATGAGCCCCAGAAGAACTGGCTCCACGCACCATGCTCTTAACAGCACACTCAACCCCCACCTCCTTGACACTCCCTGGCCAGCGCCAGGATGGCAAAACCTTCTCCTGGTCCAGAAAGAAATGAGGAACTTCAGAGAATGGCAAAGGGGAGAAAAAGGGGGGAGGGGAACACAGTGACCTCTCTGATGACCGCTCTCCCTGACAGGAGACACCCAGGCCTCTCCCACTTCCTTTCCGTTAGCCCACAGGGCTAGCCCCACCCTCTCCCCACCCCCACTCTCATCCTCACCCCCATACTTTTCCATCTACCCCAACAAAAAGCCTGGAGAACTTGCTCAGTGTAGCACAATTATAAGCTGTGAGTTTCTCTTCAGATGACCTGTTAGGTCCACCTCAGCAGGCCTGAGAGGAGGCTGTGGTCCTCCCATCTTGCTCCACTCACACCTACCCAGCAGTGTGACCAGGTCCCCTGTGGCCTGAAGGCATTGCTCTGGGGCCATTTATGCTTGGACGGTCTACCTCCCCTGAATAAGTTGCTCAAGGCCCTCCATTCTGAAAGGGTAGAGGCCCGTCCAGCTCCTGTCAGTATACCTCAGGACCTTCTCACACTGAACAAATGAAAGGTGATCACTTTCACCTAATCCAACTTTGCCTAAACATGAAACTCCCGCCCCAAATTCATTTGGTATGCTCCTCCCACATAGGTTTGCCTGTCTCCTTGGTTTCTCTTCACAGCATGTATTTCAGTTTTACAGGTTCATTGCTGGTTGTCTATGCCTAGGGAAATTCTGTGCCCCTTCCTTACCCACTTCCCATGGACCTGCAGTTTCCTTGTGAGCAGGGGCAACTGTATTATTTGATGAATTCTTAGCACATTGCAATGTACCTGGCAAGTTGCAGACATTCAATTCATGCAAGAAAGAACGAACAAACTGGGGGGGGGGGGACCAAATGAATGGATGATACGGGCAGTGAGCTGCTATGAGGTACGTTTTCTTTTTTTTTTTTTTTTTGGGTCCGGTGATGGGGCCTGAACTCTGGGCCTGGGCGCTGTCCCTGAGCTCTTCAGCTCAAGGCTAGCGCTCTACCACTTGAGCCACAGCGCCACTTCTGGCTTTTTTCTTTTTGCTTATGTGGTGCTGAGGAATCGAACCCAGGGCCTCATGCATGCAAGGCAAATGCTCTATCACTGAGCCACCTTCCCAGCCCCTGAGGTGCGTTTTCTATGCTGTATGTAGACCACAATCACCCTAGTACACAGCCTTCTGTGTAGCTGAGATGACAGGCATGAACCTCCACCCTGAGCCCTTGTATAGACCTAGTCTTGCATGGGTGTACTATCTGTGTTCACTCTGGGTGTACAAACACACTTGCAGATATACATGTATACAGGGTGTGTGCTTGTATGCCAAGTGTGGGGACAAACATATGCGTGAGAGCCCTCTGTGTGTCAAAGGGCTGTCTTGGTCTGGCGAGCACAGCCACAAGCTCAGCCGTAGGTTCCTTCCCCTCTTGCGAGGGTGGGCTGACTGATAGGCCTTTGTGAAAATGGGGAGCCTGAGGTAATACTGGCTAAAGAGGCCGTGGGGAAGATGAAGGAGGACTGGGGTAAGCTGGGCTTTTACTGACCAAAAGGCCGCTGTGGCTGTGTGCTTCCCAGGTAGGAGGCCATGGGTCCTTAGGTGAAGATCCCTCTCTCCACTCTGCTAGGGAGCTGGGAAAGCAGCCACACAACTGCACCGAGTTGGATGGAACCCTTGGCCATCAAGGCAAAGAGGAGAGGGCAAGTTTGGAATAAAAGAGATGACTCTAGTAGCATACTTTTATGTGCCTCAATGTCTGCCTCTCTCAACTGGGGACTTGGTGGCTGTGGCTTCTACCTGCCCAGGGCTGTGAGGTCTTGGGAGGGTGATCTTGGTAACTTCATTTTGCCTTGAGCCTGAAGCTAAAGGGAAAGGGTGGAGGGGGAGGAAGTAGCTGTCCTACTCTCTTAGCCAAGGCTAAGAAACCCACCATGGAACTTTCTGGTCCAGAAAGTGTTCCCCCTCCCCCTTTGCAAGTTTGAGGATTTGAAAGTGAGAGGTGGAGAGAAGCTCATTTGCATGTTCACTCATCCCCCCCCCCCAGTCCCTCAAAATAACTTCCCTCTCCCAGGAACCTGAAACCAAAGAAAGCTCCCACCACAGAAGGCCCTCTTGCTCGAGGCAGGAGAGGCCCAATTAGGGGTTCCTCTCTTAAGGGTCCTTCTGGCGGGGAGTGGGGGGGACTTTAAGGGTACACAATCTAAGTGGTCCAGAGCCCTTTGACATTGCCTCCAGGTGAGTAGGGGCTCAGGGAATCATACTTGGGAGGCTTTCGTAACTGGTGGGCATTTCACCTCCTTGCCCACCATTGCACAGGGCACAGATGGCTAGAGTCAAGAGTTCATGCCTCTAGGGTCAGTCCTACTAGGGCTGACAGCCACATGCCTTTGTGATACACATGCCCTCGGGAAGCTGAGGTGCATGAGCATGAGCACACCGCAGGAGGGAGTGAGTGGCTGGAGAAGAGGTGCCTTGCCTGCACATACACACCTCTGGCTCTCTGTGGTCTGACTGTATTTCAAAAGCAAAGTAAAATAGAAGTGGTTTGGGCTGCTTCTGCGTCACTACAACTGGGCCCCCTTCAGAGGTACAGACCCTTCCTGTCACTGGAGCACGTCAAGGCAGCATTCAGCGCCTACCCATCTGGGCCTCCCCTACAGGAAACAGCCCCTATGTAAAAGCCACGTCCACAGCCTCTGTGCAGTGAGGGAGTTGAAATCTACACCCGTTCATCTGTGTCAGTGGCCCTCATAGAATGGTAACACCCGTGGCATTTTCACACATGCCAGGAAACATGGGGGCCAGATGGTCAGCTAGGCCACAACAGCGTAATTCTCTTCCAGCTCCTCATCCAACTCACTCCTAAAATACCTCGTCCTCCCTGAAACCTTTCTGGAATTCTCTGGAAAGGAAGTGACAATTTCCTTCATGCCATTTCCCACTCCCTCAACACCCCTCCTCCACAACCACAAACAAAATGGAAACTACCCCAGGAACAAGACAGCTGTACCCTCTACTTAAAAACAGCCCTTCCTCTGGTTAAAAGTCATCAAGCAGCAAACATGCCTGCTGTACCATAAGACAGTGGCCTGTTCTTAAAACCTAGAGGGCTAGAGTCAAGGATCCAGCCTACAGTCCTGACTAGAGCAGAATTAAGCCATCCACTAGACTCAAACCCACAACCTTGGCCCAGCTGGGGCTAGTCTCCACAATCGGACATCGAATGAATCCTCTATCTTGAGCAAGTGCCCAGTGAGGGGGCCCCAGCCACAGCTATTTTGTCAGCTCCTTTTCTATTCATTTCTTTCCACCACCACCTCCATTGGAGATGAAATCAGGAAGAGGGAGGGGGGAAAATAGAGGTTTTGCAAGCTCTGTTGGTTGAGGTTTCTCTGTGCATATTTGCAAGAACTACAGCTTCCTTTCTTGTCCCTCTGTCACTGCCTTATAACAGCATAGGGCTTTGTCACAATTCTGATGGTAGGTGAGCCCAGAGAACACCCCCACCCAACTGCTCCTCCTCTCAGTCATCCTACCACAGCTGCCCCAATTGCCTGGGCCAGCAATGAGCACTTAGGACTGAAGGAGATGACTTGCCCCCGGCAAAAGGATGGTCTCTCCTCTTTCTCCCAGAGACCCTTGGCCCACTCAGGCTATGTACTCATCAGGTTGGGGGAACAGGAGGAAAACACTCTCCTGGCTACATCTGCATAAGCTATATGACCCAGTGATCTGTTTAGACTGTGGTTTCTGTCATCTTTCAAGTAGGTGAGGGCTGAGGATAATCTGAGCTACCAGGAGGCTGGTTGAAAGACTTGGATGGTGGGAAAGAATTCTGAATATCAAAACACACTCAACCAGGGGATGAGCTTCAGGTGACTTCCTAGGGTATAAGAGAACGTGGGAGGGGGACCATTGCCCCCAACCTTGATATCCAGGGAGTTGAAGGACCCCC